AATGATTACTAATAAGACTAATGTTTGAGGACTGTTGTATTTGTCCAGGATTCACAGCTAACTTCTCAAATTTCTGCATTGTATATAAAAGCTCTGAGATCATGTGAACACTTGGTATCATTCATTGACTTGCAAACAAGCAATGAGTCATTTGACCTTGCAGACCTTAACAAGGAGTGAACAAGGAAGAGTACTTATAGAAGTTGACAGGAGGATAGCAAGGGTAGAATTTGCACCCAAAATGTATTTAAGTGTATAATTTAAGCTAACAGCTGTTCAGGTGATTTCTTGCTTCTTTTTTCATGAGTCTACGTGTTGCCTTTAATTTGATATTCCTTCGAGCTTGAGTAGTGAAGAGCTGTAGGAATATACTTAAACTTAGATATAGTTGAATCTTACAATAAAATCTTTATGGATTCTACCACTTACACATGTATGGAGTCATGGACCACACATCCACAATGGCAGATGAAGAATCAGGGAATCTTATACATCATACATTATCCAACAATATTTTGTAATTCTCCCATTTGTGCAAGAAAACAAATTCTTCCAATTACAATTGATTGAGAAAATGTAAATTGGGGAAGGCTGTGTCACACAAAACTTATGTCACTTACGTAAGGTAAGATGCGTTGAAGATTACGCCATTTGCAGGCTTCTTATTCTTGTTCTTTATTTTCCAGGTCCCGCAGTTTGTCGACAACTCCCATGTCGTCCCCCTACCACAGTCCCAAGGTCACTCCGCAGCACACCCCACACCACACACCAAAAGGAAGTCCTCTCCACACCCCCGTCCACACCCCGCGGAACCTCACCCCCACATCTAGCCCCACCCCCACGCCACCGGGCAGCCCCGGGATGGGCGGCCAGGCTGAGTGGAAGAGGAGGTTAACCACGATCAAGAACAGCTTCCTGGGATCCCCTCGCTTCCACAGGAGGAAGCTTCAAGGTAGAATCAAGTTGAGGTGTGGATATTGTGTGGGGGTTCTTATATGTGTCCTTAACTTTCAAACAGGGACATCCATTTATACATAAACAATTGGACATTTGTGTTCCCGGTACCCCTATATTCTCCTGCATTAAGACCATTGAGAACATCTTAAAGAGCAAGTGCAGAACAACACACATCTCATTTTACTGGTTAATTCAACAATTCATTATTTTATATGTTGGTGCAATTTTCAACACTTGCACTGAGACTATTATATGTAGTAGCATGCCTTCCATGCCACTTTAAGCATGTGCTGTGCAGAGTGTAGAGTAGAATAGAGTGCTTAGAAGGAGGTGCTAATGTATGATTTCATACGCTGTCCACTCACTCGCCATCTCATTCCATCTCTGCTTCTCTCATTCTCTTCATCCTATTGTGAGCTGTTGGTACTGCTTACTTTGTCTTCTCTCTTTCAAGCAGACGCATTCTATAACCTCATGAACTGGCAATGTAAGGCCTTTCACTTCCCATCTTCTCTTGAAGTGTCCTCAATTTAGGTTCTCAGTTTCTCCCAGTGTTTTGTTCTTCTGACACTTCTCTCTTCCTTTTCTCACACACTGTTTCTCAATACCACCTACATTCAACATTCATTTATACTGGTCTACATTGATGCTTCTTTTCTTCCTAGTGTTACCTGGCCTAGATTGAAACGTTATAGATAAATGATGTGTGAAACAATCATCAAATATCCTTTTAAAAAACAAGAAAAAGGAAAATGTATTGTCTGCAAAGATAAACTTGATAAAGAAAAAAGGGAGTCCATTTTGAGCTTTGGTATATTGTTGTATAGGGGGAGGGGAGATGATACAAAGTGGAAACTGCATTTGTCCACTCTTTCTGTGGATGGATGGAAGAGTTATTGTTGCTCTGTACCAAAAATTGGGTTTTCTGTTGTCGCACAGTCCAAAACTTGATGAATGGATTTGACAATCCAATTATATAGCAATAATGCTGGCTTACGTGGTCCCACACATGTACTTAGAATTATGTATGGTTAAACTATCCATGTCCTTGGTGCTGAAATGGCATTCGGATATTAAATAATTGTTATTGCTCAGTGACATCAACACATTGTTTTACTACATTGTACATTTACATCCTATCAGAATATTTTTACTTTCTGCATACCACATTTGCATGCAGAAATACTTTTAAGGCCTTCAAGATAAACTAAGATAGCAGAGGCCCCGTCATAATGTGTTTATAGTGAATATAGTGAATTTGACTTTTTCTTGATTTCAGTTCCAAGTGCAGAAGAGATGTCTCTGACGCCAGATAGCTCGCCTGAGTAAGTTTAGTCATACTGTTCCTGAGTATACTACAAGTTATGTCTCCAACTATAATGGTGATTTCATTGTTCCAATTTACATTCTATGATCATACTTAAATTTAGCTAGACAAGATACATACATTGCAAAATTTATGATCAACTTGAAATATATATAATCGTGTATTACCATTATCATGTTGTACCATAAAAAGGTCATTACTAAGTAACAAGATAATTGTTTTCCCTTAGAAGCTAAAAGTTATGAATTATGAACCAGATGATTTTATATACAACTGACCTTAGATTGTCTGTTTGCAGGATGACGAAGAAGTCGTGGTTCAGCAGTCTGATTGGCTCGGACAAGGAGGAGACGATTTTCGTGGTCATCAAAGATCGGCCAATCAGCACCATCAAGGCTGATATAGTCCATGCCTTCCTGTCGGTAGGACCTTCTCTCAGATCAGCTTAATCAAGCCTGCAGATGCTCATTGTGTATAATGAACCTAATGAAGTCAAGGGGCCAGAATGAATGATGTATAGGAGAGGGTTGATCAAAGTAAGGTCACGTATAACTTTAACACTTGAACACTAGTAATTGTATTTATAACAATTTTAGTTTTGCAGTATTTGTCAAATGCAAGACCATATGTAGTTTTAAAGTTGAGTCTGTGTCTTTTTATGCAGAAGAAGGACATAGAAAAAGAACATATAGAATCTGATATATTTCTTAATAAAACTTTATATACTACTATTTTGGACATCATGAGAACAGGAAGACCAGTGTGCTCTTAAAAACCAAAAGATTTTAATGGGAATGGGTAGCATTAATATTAACCCTTACACTCGCAAGCGTAGTGTTGAAACATGTAGCACTACAATTGTTTCAAACATTCCAATGTTGTGCCTGTCGGGGGCACTTAAGATTCAATATCGTCCTTCTAAAATCTATATGTCATTATCTTTGCCTCACTGAGCATCTCTGCTGCATGTGTGAGCCTGGTGAATACAGTTAACTCGTTCAGGAGTTCAACTGTAGTGGCCTTCTTACTTACTTCTCCTCCCCAAAGGGAAAAAAGTATTGTTTTTTGCTTGTCACTCTTGTCACTGCTTATCATCCGAGGCTTAAAGTCTGCTATCTTGGTCCTTTTTAAGAGGGCTAAATTTTTGTTTCAGGGTTACATATACATGTATTTGAGGCTCATATAAACTTGAGCCTTTGCTGTGCAGTTTTTTTCAAGCTGCCATCGTCACAATCACCTGTTTCCTTCCCTCCAACCCCCAGATGCCCGGGTTGACCCACAACGTGGTGTCACCAACGAGCTTCAAGGCAGAATACAAGAACGCAGGTGGGACCTCCTCCATGTTCAGCAAGCCTGTCCGCTTCCAGGTGGACATCACACCGTCCGAGGGCGTGTCCGAGAAGCAGTCGGCGATCTACTCCGTTAGTTTCACACTCATCTCAGGTGAGGAGAGGTTCTCTATTGTTGCATCAGCCAGTGAGTATCCATGTCGATAGTCCAATTAATGTTTGTGATAAATGACATAAACCTTTAAACCTCCAATGTTTATAGTAACTATTTTGCATTGCTGTACAAAAAAAAACTTTCTTCTTTCCTTTGCTATAAGGCAGCTTTTGTCTTACCACTACAATTTGTCTGCACCATTCATTTATGTAGCTGTCATCAAGTAAACTGTTGACATAATGTTCTAGATTTTAAGTTGTCTGAGTTTGGTTAAAAGCCATCTTCAAATACAATAATGTGCCAGAAATACAGATGAAGTATATGTGCTCTGTTTCAGGCCCAAGTCGTCGGTTCAAGCGAGTGGTGGAGCTCATTCAGCAGCAGCTGCTCAGCTCCCCTACGCCCCCCACCCACACTTCCCACTCACGGACGTACGATGAGGTACCCAATGACAGGTCACCGACTGGCAGATACGAGCAGTTTGGTCCCTCAGGATACGCAGCCCCCGCGGGGGCCTACCCACGTGCACCTGGCACACGGAGGAAATCCTTCGATTCGGCAGCAAACTATGAAAATGAAGTTTTTGACTCAGACCTGCAATTTAGTCCACGACATGGTAGCCCACGTCGAGACACGGCAAAACTCATTGCCAACGGCCAGCCTGTTGGAAGGAGGCGCTCTTCCAGAGGGACAGACCTGGCTGCTGATTTCCGAAGAGAAACAAACTTATGACTCTAACTGCATTTGTCCCTATGTTTCCTCCAAAGTAAGCCATAATGCACGGCCTAGTTAAGACATTGCTGCCAGAAGTCATCACATTTTGCACACACATGGTCTGCCTTGGCCAGTAGTGGTCATAGCATTTACGTACTAACTTACTGTACCAGCCTAAACACATGTTGGTCCTGGCACTGTCATAGGACTTGAAGCTGGTACCAGGGGCAGGATGGAACTATTCACTACCTGGGCTAGATCAATGTACATGTAGACAAGAATAACCAGTCTGAACTGCACCATGCTGGTATTGTGCACGGATGGAAAAGCAGTTCAGGACAGCACTAGTCTGGAGAGCACCTGTGTGGACAGCACCTATCCAGATCAGTGCCTGTCTGAACTGGTGCTAGTCCAGTCCAGTGCCTGTCTGAACTGATGCTAGTACGGTCCAAAGCCAGTCTAAGCTGCACGGTGCTAGTCCGGTCCAGCATAAGTCTTGACAAGTGCTAGTGTGAAAAAGATACAGGCTGTTATGAGCAAATAGAGTGGGGTAACTTCCATTACCAAACAAATAGTTACGGCTGGTCAGACAGGTGGTTGCCAGATTCTCTTACATAGCATAGACGAAGCAATTATTTTGCTAGTAAGGTTAGGGTGGTACCACTTTTGCAATATCACAAATGGAACATAATGTAAGTAATGAAGAATATCTTGCTGAGCCCCAGTATCTTCCCTCCCCTCTAGCTGTCCTGACAATGCTGTATGTAAATGCACTAGCCATCTGATATGTGAAGCTGGCTAGTCTTCTCCCCTTGTGCAGACCATATGATAGCTAGTCTAATCTTGCCCTCCCTGCCTGGCCTTTACGCTCATGATGTGCTGACCATGAGAACTGTGGACTCTAGGACTGGCATGTGTACAAGCCATATAAATGGTAGCATAGTAGGAAATCTCTTCTTGTATTTATTCCTGTGAAACAAAGGGAAAAGGTATGTATACCCAAAATTTCTTGTCATTTCCTACCTCACTGATGGGACAAACGAGCCAGGCACACAGACTTCCAAGACAGAAGACAAGTCATATCATGGGACCAGGGTTCAAACTTCACTATACATGAATACTACCCAAGATGCACTGTGTATATTTAGCTCAACCTCGCCCCCCCCCCCTCCCCCATTTCACCAGTGACCTATACTTACAATTAGATTTACTTCTGCATGTGAAGTGTCGTGTATGGGACATTTACTGCAATTTTATAAATTTTGGTGCAATCTTTTAAGCAAGTAAGTTTTAGGATAATAGAGACATAGGAAGACTCTTTGAGTGGGAGGTTTTCAGCTTGAGCTTTGATAGCTGTGCCAGGTAGAGTTAAGTCATTTTTTAAAGTTTATTTACATGTTGTATATACTGTTTACATCTGATGTCTGTTAGTGAAAGATGTCAAAGTCATTTGACATAGATAAGGTCATTGGACATCTATTTGTGAGAAATAATTAGTCTACAGCTATAATATATTATTATTATTTATTGAAGAAAAGTAACATTATTTATTGTGATTTTTTGAGTGCTTGAAGTGAATATATTTATCTAAGTTATTAAGTTCAACAATTTTGCAGTGAAGCAACTTTTTTGTGCAATAAGTTTTGAATTGTGAGAACTAACTTGCAATGGGCTTTTTTCCCATTTAAGGGCAGAAGTCATGAAACCTTCAGTGTTGACGAATTTTGTTCTCAGTCTTGAAATATTTTCATTCTTGCCTTCATTTGGATGTCATTCTAGCTTCTTTTTTATTTCTAATTCTTTTTTTTTATTAATGAATATCATTTTTCCCTATTGTTGTGTCTATAACGGCATTATGAAATGAGTTACTAGGTTGACCAAAGTGTTTTCCTGACTTTTTCTGCATATATCTCTTAGAGTTTAAGTGGTCCCAACCAAAGTATTATCATACTATTTCTGAGACAGTTGAACTGGATGGGTGAACTGGGTGAACTTTTTCCCAAAAGTCACTGACCAGCTCTATTTTTGACAATGATACACTTGCAACACTTACATGTAAGTGAACTAGAGGTGGCAAGTACTTAGTTTAAGTGTGGTAGAGTTTGATGTTGATTGCATGACAGTGCAAATGAGAAAATGCTCGCTTCTAGCTGGAGAAGCTATAAAAATGCCCTAAAGACCCTTTTCAGCATGACGTTACTTCTGTTCTAGCCAGTCCTCTTGTTGTTTGGTCCTCTCTGATACTGTTGGTTTTCTGGAGAAGGCTGAAGTGTCAGATTGACCTAGTAGAACCCAAATGACGTCATGAAAACAACACCATGAAATGGGTCTGTAGTGGTCAAATGTAGTAGCAAGAAGCAGGCTGTTAGAGTGGGATTAGCCGGCCTCTTTGCAAAGTTGTACAAACAAAACTCAAGGTTAAATGAGGTCCCATTTCTCTCCTCTTAAGTCCTGAAATGTCCTCCTCTGCAGGTGAAACTATGACGTATAAAACTGTTATATGAATGTAAGATAAGTGACAACTCTATCACAGCAAGAGGAAGAGTTGTTTGAACTGTAGTGTTCATGTTACTCCATTATGCTCATGGGGTACCATGCATGTTTTACAGTTCAGTCGATTATTGGTTATATTCTAGTTCATGTCAGCTTAATTGTCTGAACTGCTGACTTCAAAATTAGGAGCAGTTCTTTCTTCCAACCTCTACTGTAATGGTACCTTCCAAATTTCTGTCAACTGTCTGTTAGAGTCACACATTTCTGGGCTCGTCCACTGTCTGAAAAGGTAAAGTAATTTAAATACATAATGTAGAGAGAAGGTTGCTAGGGGGCATGCATTATGTAGAGATTAGTAATGGACACAGAAGTACTATAGTTAGGAGGAGAACTGATGTGTGGAGATGCCACCTTTGATGAGACCTGTATTCTTAGCTTAACGGTTAATCTTATTTGGGTAGAGCACTATCTTCAATACCCACAAAGCATTTTAAAGTCATGTAGGTCTTAAAACTTATTTCAATGTACTATAAACTGGATGTATGAACACAGACTCATGTAAAGATGAACTAGATAATGCTCTACCCTTGTTAATTGTACCATAAGAAAAAAGAACAAAAGTTCAGTGACTATGCATCATGTTTTAAAATGTAGTGCGCACCACGTCTTAATATAAATAGGTACTGGAGGTAAGAAGTAAACTAGGTTGGGGATGGAGCAATAGTGAAGATGTCTGGCTGTACATCTGTACAGACATGTTCACCATGAAACATCCAATTACAAAAATAAACCTGGACAATGTTTTCTTGAACAGTTGATCACTCCTTTCTGTTGTGTGGTGTCATTCTTGCTTACTGTACACTATAATAGAAGTTTGACAGATAGTAAATGTATGTGGAGAAGTCCTGGAATGTGTATTCAAGGCTCCTGAGAACAAAAAGGAAAGGCTCTTCCATCCACATACTTATGGCTTGATAGTCCCTAACCTGGAGCTATATCTTGTGCTGAGCAGCAGCCATAAGGAACCTTTCCCTGGTTTGAAGCACCATCCCCATAGCTCTGTCCTTGGTGCTGAATACCAACATTGTAATCCATTTACAACTTAAACAGCCCTGTGCCTGGTTATGGACTGCCATCTGTTGTTTGTCCCAGCACTACCTCCATAGCTCTGTCCTTGGTGCTGAACACTCATTAATGCATAAATATGAACACTGGTAACTCATTAATGCATAAATAGCCCTGTCCCTGGTGATGGACTGCCATTCACTGGCTTTGTCAAAACCACTTGCAAGCCTCAACTTGGAGGATGATGTGGAGCAAATGTGCTATCCAGCTTCACACGCTAAACAGAGCCAATTTAATTTGTTGGTTCTCTGATTTGCTTCATTTTTTTTCTGATTTGCAAAAAAAAATTCTTGTTCTGAATCAACTCAAAAATGCTCATATTTTGCCCCCAACAGTTGAGGAAAGTCCTTTTCTTCCTAGTTGTTACAGTTTTTCCATCTCTCAATGCAATGGTTTGATTAAAAGTTCAAAATTCATTGTTTAAATTTTAACCCAGCCTTTTGTGTTGACTTCACGGCTCATATCAAAGAATTTGGGGCTATAATAGGATGCTTAGACCTGTTCTTTCCCTGGTCGCTTCATATTTTTCTGAAAAAATCCGAGAACCAACAAATTAAATTGGTGTGGCCTTACCAGCCAATGTGCATGTCCCTTGAATGACAAATCATGGCTGTAGTATGAATAATTGGTTAAAGAACAATTTATTTCAGTCAGAAGAATTTTATTAGTCTTTGTGAAGGAAACAAAAGCACCCAGACAAGACAACTACTTATTTCCATCAAAGTATTCATCACAGATTCTTCAAAAGAAAAGAAGGCAGATGATGTTTTGTTTGACTTTTCCATTATTTCAAAGCTGCTTCCCTGAGTTGAAAAGCAATTACATTCTGGTCCATTACCCGCACGGTGTGATCAATATAAATGTAAGTCCCTCCTTGCACATGGATAACTTTTATGTAAACGTTAGGTCACTGACGTGAGATTGGGGCTATTTGAACTGACCCGGTGCTTAGGTTTTGTTCATGTGGAAGACTGCACGGCCTTCCACCTTCCCAGCTTGCAGTGCCTGCAGGACATCCCATGTCTGTTCCAGGGGGTGATGTTCCAATGGAGGGGCAGGGATCTGGAAATCACAGACAAGTGCGTGGCACGCTATTAGAAATTCTACAAGGCTGTTGTATTTGTATTAGTAAAACTGACAGGGCAACACCCCTAGTCTCCGCATTAGTTAGTCATTGTAATACCCACGTCAACATGAATATTGGTTAACACCAGATCTCCACCCAACTCTTTGTTCCTAGACTGAGCACTCCGAGCATCATGGACAAGACCTCCTAGTAACCATACGGATTAAAGTGACAACATCTTTCCTTCTCCATCTACTCATTATATCAAGACCCACTTTCCACTGACCTGCTTGTCTGCCACCAGAGCCAGAAGTTCCTTGAACTGGTGCAGCCCGCCCACGTGCACACCCACCACCTGCTTCTGCTGTAGGGCGAATGTTGGGAGAGGGATGGTCCCGCCGCCTCCGAACAGACCGACCACAGCATGGATGCCACACTACGCGGGTACACGGAGGAAGAAATACCAACATGTCATGACCTTGTCTATCAATGGCTGTAAGACCTATCTGTCAGTAACGCGCTAACGTCGCGGTCACATTCGCCTGTTGTGTGATTTTGATACCGTAGAATTTGAAAGCAGGCTGTGAGACACCAACGATCTAAGGCATCCTTTTTCGTATCAAGACAACTTGATTTTGCATGGCTATCCCAAGAATATATTCAGGCTTGCGCTTTTGCAGTCAGTGAAGTAATCTAAAACAGTCTATATCCTACCTTTTCCAGACAGCCCTGTATGTTGGCAAAGGTTTTGGAGGAATTGACAAAGTCGATGGCAGCGTCTACCCCATCTGTACAGATAGCACGGGTGGCAGCAACAGTCGTGGCGACGTCAGCTGATACACAACAAGTCATCATGTCAGCACATAGCACTTCTCACATGTTTGGTCTTACAGCCATGTTACAGACCACTTGTGTGGTAAAGACAAAACCCCTTTACCGTAAAGCTCAAGGTTTCTAGTCTTTATTGATCATATTTCTTATCACAGTTTTTCTATTGTTTTCAGCGCATAGTTACTGTTCGCTGTCTGACATGTGGTTTTCCGTATACCGTGATACCACAACAAACAGTATGGTTCTATAAAGTACGGGAGTATATGTGACATCTTTGTTAAAACAAGAGTGCAGAGTAAGGTTATCCAAAAAGAAACAACAACACACCTTCCCTGTCCCAAAGTATGGTGTCATCACAGCCATTGTCTTTAGCAATCTTCAGTTTTGCTGCCTGAAAGATCATAGGAAACTTGATATAAGCTCATTGCAGTGTCCCTTGAGTCAACGCACTTCTAAACTTCGTATCGTACATCTATCGATAAAGCCTGCTATTTGCAGTTCCCAGTACATGTTTTTCCTTAATGACTAGTTGGATTTAAGTCTTAACATTTAAAATTAGTTCAAAATTAGTTAATTAATCGCCAAATTAAAGTGGCCGTTTGACGTTTGTAAAACCACAAGGTTGCACAAGGAGGGCTTTCATGAGATTCCGTATGTGTGAATTTGTGAAGTAAACATTTCATGCGTAGTGAACAGGACCAACAAATATCTAGATTTGCTGTCCGTATTTGCTGATCAGATGACACATGTATGGTATGTCATCACATTTCAAGTCTATTCCCAAGCCCCGCCCACCTCTGTCTAAACGTAGAAATAAATGAGCAGCCACTCCCTCATTGGTCGAACAACTCATGGCGATTCTGTCATTGCTTGAACTGCTAATGTCAGGATCAGTCCAACTCACGTCCACGTCCGCACAGACGATCCTGGTGCCCGGAGGAAGGACGTGCTTGGCCAGTTTAACCGCCCAGAGACCGAGCCCGCCAGGCCCCACGATCAGCAGTGTGCAACGCTCTGCGGAGGGAACGGGCTTGGAACAAATCTGCCTCACAACTCAAACATAATAGTTAAACCATATACATTCCTTGGATCGCAATATGCACATTTCATAAGCAGGTACTGGCCAGACGGCACTTATAATATTACGACTCATCTGTAGACCGACAGCCGACAAGTCGCTACTGGTAGAATATTGTATGGCGCGATGAAATATGACGAATACGACAGAATATGACGATCTTGACCTTGACTACCATTGTTTGTGTAGCACTTCGTTTTCAGGAACAGTACATTGAAAGAAAATGTTCTACTGGTTGTTATTATAAAGTTATAATAGCCTGTGAGATTATTTTCAGAACTTTGTGTTCAGATCGGTCCGTGCATGTGAACAGTTTTGCACCTGCCTATGGATGAAAAGATAGATATATACATGCGTGTATGCATCTATGTATGTTTGAATAAGAAAAGTGAACAGGTACCAACCCCTGAATTTGGACAGCCTCTCCACTGTCGGCTGGACGGTTGTAACGCCGTTGTAGGCAGTCAGTCCTCCACAGGCCAGCACGGCGGCGGCGTCCATGGGCAGGCCCGCTGGTACCTTCACCAGGTACCGGGGGTGCGGAACGATCACGTACTCAGAATAGCTACAGGAGTACAACATCTCAGATTGTCCAACCTGTCACTGGTTCATTTATTCACTTATATGGGAGTGCCTGGTGATTATGTTAGGCACCCTATCTAGCTAGGATAATGATCACGTACAAGCATGACCTTTTCATGTAGATGTATTAAGGTATAATCTATAGATGCAAATTTCAAAATTGCTCTGATCGGAAAACAAGGCAATTTGATAAGGCTCCGCTAAACATTGACTTTAAAACGATTCCAAGAAAGTAGTCGCTAATTTAGTTCAGAGAATGTAACAGTGTTACACTACTGACTGACCCTCCGTCCACCACCGGCCCGATGTATTTGAGCGGACCCTTGCAGTAGTTGGCGTTCCCGGTGGCGCAGGCCTGGCAGTTCTCACAGCCCACCCACGGGTACACCACCACGCTATCCCCCACCTGCACGTCGCCTTGCTCCGCGTCACCGGCAAACGAGTACACCGTTCCCGAGGTCTCGTGGCCTGGAACAGTGACGGATACAACGTTAGAGATTGCAATCTGAAAGAATCACTGAAGTTACCGGTAGAGATCTCAATCGGAGTCTGTAGATTTTTCTGTGTATGTGCAAAAAGTAGTCCGAACTTTGATTCACTTGTATGTTACGATCAATGGGCTGGCTTAAAACTCATTTATACATGGAAGATCCTAACTTATTTACAGCATCTTGATCGCGATCTTTGTTAACAAGACACTCCGACTACGATCTCTACCCGGTAGATCACAATATCTACACTGGCATATACATGACCAGCAAGCGAAAACATTTAGGAAAATAAGTTACCAATTGTACATGTATAAAGTGTATATGTATGCCTACGCATGTCATCGGTAAACAATGACTAAGACCATGCAAACTTTGTTCTCTCTAAGTCCTGTAAGAGGGCCTGCTTGTATTGACCTTAAAATGAACGTCGTTCATTGTCAGTATTTTTCAACATACGTCTGCACATGGTATGCTCTTTTCATATCAAATCTCCGCCCTCTCCCCTCAGTTTTCACAATTACATAAACACAAGCGGTTGACATGTTACCCATGATAATAGGCAGGGTAAATCCTGGCCTCTCGCTGTAGCGGAAATGTTTCCCCTCTCCCAGGTAGAATCCGTTCTGCCACACGTGGACGTCTGTGTGACACATCCCGGCATACATCACCTGAGGGGAACACAGGACGGAAAAGGATGGGCTTTTACCATTGTGTTTTTTGACACAGTTTAAAGTAAGAAAGCGCGGGTCCATTTATGGGGTGATAAAAATTATATGTTTAAAGACTGATCATAGGTGACCACACCAATGTATACCACTAACCTTCTACTATTCAGAAATCTACTATTCAGATATGAATTTGCCCACACTTATACAGAAGGTGTCGATATGTACAATATAATTGCGGTCCTGGCCCATGGACTGTGCAGTACGATAGCACCATGGCATGGTGGGGGAAATAATCATAGTATAAACATGGACAATCGCAGTGATTATTTTGCCATTACGTTCTGAAAATGTTTTGTTATATTTAACTGCGCTTTTTGGTATTAATATTTTGATTCCGCGGTCACGTTTTTTTTCTTTGTTAAGCGGCTTCATTGCCTTTGAGTTTGGGAACAGCGATAGCTTTCCTTACAGCCTTGGACTTTGGTTCTAGACGTAACGTTATACACCGCTGCGACAAGGTAAAGACGCCATCCGCGAGGTGGCATACCAACGTTGCAATGGGTGACCGGTACACTGGTATCAATTTTGGCACAATCTAGTCCAATTTCAACACCATCATAGAAGAACTTTATTGCACGTACATGGTACAATGTGGCAACAACTATTGAACTATTGAAAACATACTTAGATATCCTAATTACTAAAACAATACGGGCTTTGATATGGTGTTACAATCGAGTGGGGCTAATCATGAATTTATGGAGTCCGAATCCGAAGTAGGTTTGATGTATAATATTTATAAATGTTTCTTCCAATATCGCCATGGCTCAGTGGTTATGAAAAAGTTAATCGTCACCTAC